AGACTGGATGACATTCCGTTTCACAAGTTGTCTTCAATTTTAGCAAAGGCGCTAGAAAGTGACGGCGCAAAATACGTTTGTCGACCTTGAGCTTCCCCGATTGCGCAGGGAGGGCACACTCGAAAGAGACGCACTCGTGCTTACCAAAGACTTCTACAGTCAAACCTCGTTATATTGAACAGCGCGAGGACCGTGAAATAGTTCGATATAGTCAAAATTCAATATACAAAGTCACACACAAAAAGAGCGTCAAAGTACAGCGCGATTTAATCAGTAAAAGGCTAACGGCAAAAAATGACTAGTACTCACGTGAAGCGTTAAGGTGAACTACTTATTCCGACGAAAAAATCTGCCGCAGCGTAGATTGCTGCATGGAGCTGATCGCATGCCTTATTACAGCCCGCTCCACTGTCTCCAAGCGGTCCACCAGCGCCAGATCACTACCGTCGATTGCACTGCAGTAGCGGCGTAAAAGCGAGACCGTCTTCCCGACAATGTTGTAACAGGCTTTGAAGCGTTACAGCCACCCGCTACTTGCGGCGACGTTTTATGCTTGGTGGATGAACGCGAAGTCCTTTGCTTTCTGTTGAAGCATCGGCCTGATGCCGGAATGTTCCGAGCCCTTGCGTCCATAAACCACTTGTGAAGTGATTTTTCCACCTTTTCGAAGGCTGGTGTCCGAACACGGTGTGCGCCGGAGTGCTTGCTTCGTTCAGCCTTCGGTTTGATGTCACTTTTCGTCTTCAGCAGCGTGCTCAAATTGCTTCGCGGTATGTTGTACGCTTCGGCAACGCTGGACATCTTTTCTCCTTTTTCAACGCGGCGGATGATTTCAAGCTTCGTCGCGAACGTCACGGACGTATGTTTCTTTACGATCGTTGCCGTCGCCACATGCGGTTGATGCAACGTCAGAGGAACGAACCCGGAGCCACGAAACTGTACAGGGCTTGAAAAGAGCGATGCTGGCGATAGGATTGAGCTGACTGGACTGAGCCCGAATGTCGCCGAATCTGGATGGCGTTCCCGGCACCAGAGTCATAAAGCTAAATCAAATTCGCAAACGCCTGCTGCGCCACCACTATCCTACGATGTGTTGCCAGTGTTGCGGGAAAGCCCGCGTATCATCCGATGTGCTGCGGGAAAGCCTGCCGCCTGTCTCCGGAGCGCAACTTTCCGGTGCTGCGGAGTTCGATATATTCATTTTTTAACCGACCAAGTTTGCTATAAAAAATTTAAAATGCATGTAATTTTTATGGTAGTTCGACAACGATTCGATATAAGCAATAATTTTATATATCCGTGTTCGATATAATGAGGTTTGACTGTAGTATTGCGTTGGAAGCAAACACGTGCGCTGTACTTTTGCGTTAGCGTTGCGTGCTCCACACTGCACATGTGCACCGTCGCCATGTCGCAATCCAAGACACACCTTAGGATCCACACTCTCGCAATGTGAAACACGCAACGCTAACGCACACCCACAGTGCTTGCTTTTGTTTGTATACGCAATGCTCAAACTCGCTATAAAAAGTAAGCTACAATAATTCGCAGCTTGAAAAAAATCGCGGGGCGTGGTTTATTGTGCTTTCTTGCTTCGTGATTCGTTCTTACAGCTAATCCTGCAATCTGATTGGCTGATGAGCGATTAGAAGCTGCTGTGAACTTGTCATGTCCCGCGGTTTTTTTTTAGCTGTCAGTGACAGTACTAAAGAGAGCTTGCGAGACGATTATTATAGAATTTGTTGTGGATATACGGCACGAGTCCTGCTTTTATGAAAAATGTTTCCCGATTGTAGTCAAAGCTGTCATAGAAGAAACCATAAATAATGTTGTCATTGTTAACTTGCCAAAGAAACAGTTTAGACATAGTTGAACGTGAGAGCGTTGGTTTTGATGACTTGTTACAGAAAGACTAAACAGAAAGGACGGTCAAGGACGGATCTTTCGATTTTCAACAACATGTAGCGTTTTTTTTATTAGAAGTTGGCATCGAGAGCAGTGGACCATGAGGGAAAGGGGGGGAAGGAAAGGACAAGTGAAAGAAGGGAAGGAGAGGGAAAGGAGGAAAAGCGCGAAGGAAAGGAAAAGTGAAACAAGAAAGAGAGGAGGGGAGAAGGTCGGGGCTGCAGGAGAGTGAGGATCTGTTATCCTAGTACGACAAGAAGCGGGGGTCGGCATCAGAAGCCCAGGAAGTTGTTCCTGGCGTTTGCATCGGTTCCTGCTTGGGCCGTCAACGGTGAACCTGGCTGTGGAGAGGGAGTTGGGCGTCAAGGCGCCGGGAGCAAAGGTATTCCACACCCCAGCACCACTTCCGCTTCCATCGAGCAGGTTTTCTCAACCCACTCCCAAGGCTTCAAGTTCACCAGAGAGGACCCTTCAGACGGGAAACTGCAGTTCCTCGATCTGCGCCTGAACACCAATCCCAATGAACTCTGCTGGGGTTTCCAGCAGCGGTCCAAGAAGCCCGTGCTACCGATCGGAAGCAACCATTCGAAAACTGTGAAGTCCGGGATCGGTAAGATCCCTCCTTGCCCCATTCCGTGCCAAATCTTGCCCCAACTTTTCTCAAACCAGCTTAACTGCCCAAATCTGTCGCCTCCAGAAGGCGGGCTATCCACACGACCTCCTTGCGACATCCCTAAAATCTCTGACCTCCCAGCCTCACCCCGACCGTGCCAGACCGCCTCGACCAAAAAAGTTCGCAGTAATCCCTTACCACCACAACACACCACATCGCCCGAGGGCAGCGGCCCGCTGGTACAATGTCAATGTAGCCTTATCATGCCAGTTCCGATTAGGTTCCATGTGCCGCGTCGTGAACGATCCCCAGCGCCATTCACAAGCAGGGTGTGCAAAGAAACACAAAACAGGCTTCATTCCCTGCGCAACGGGTCGCGTGTACTCAATCCCCCTGTCGAGCGGCGCCGAGTATATCGGTTAAACGGGTCGCTGCATGAATGACAGACTGGGCGAGCATGACGGGGAAATCAAAAAAGGGGACACTGAGTCCCAGCATCCCATTCTCCGCCATAGAGATGCATGCTCTTCGTGTGAGGACCAGCTTCACAATGCACGGATCCTAGGCTCACATAGAGACCGCTACAGGTGCGAGATAATTGAAGCATACGCCATGAAACAGGCATCTCAAAACATTTCGTCTCCCTCGCTTGTCCTTTCAGAGAGGGAGGCGGCTTATCTGCGGCCCCAACTGGCGGCCTTGACGCGGGCCCAAGGAGCCCTTGCTCACTGACAACGCGGCGATGCAGCGCCGCTCTGTGTCTCAAGATGAGCCCCCTCTTCCCCTTCCCCTCCTCCTAACCTTACCGGGCTGCGTATTTCCAAACGGCGTAACAACTTCCTGAGTTTCTCATGCCGACCCCCCCTTCTTGTCGTACTAGGCTAACAGATCCTCGCTCTCCTGCAGCCCCGACCTTCTCCCCTCCTCTCTCTTCCTTCTTTCACTTGTCCTTTCCTTCCCCCTCTCCCTCCCTTCTTTCACTTGTCCTTTCCTTCCCCCCTTTCCCTCATGGCCCACCGCTCTTGATGCCAACTTCTAATAAAAAAAACGCTACATGTTGTTGAAACTTGAAAGCTGTCCGTCCTTGTCCATCCTTTCTGTAACAAGTAAACAGTTCAGCTTAGATAATATATTTTTCTAAACACGCAGCGCACTCTTCACGATCTAAGCAATGCGGCCAGGCTCTTTAAATCGACCGCAAAATTCGGTTTCTTAATTTGTCGCGCTACGATCTTGTGCAGCGTTGCCGACAGAAGGTGCATGTTTTTTTGTAAAATTTGCAACGAGCGAATTTACTTGAGAAAAAAAAAGTAAAAAAAGAAAAAGGCTTAAAATGCAGTGAAGCCCCCGGTCTTCAAACAATACGGCGCCGTTTCACACGAGAGACAAGAGATGGCGCAAGCGGTCGCGATGCCAACGGCTCTGGACGCCAACTACCACCAACGACCGAGCACACAGCACTGAGAGCCGGCGTTTAGCAGGTCATTCCCACACAAACGGTTCGTCCTCGAACGCATCAACGACGCCACTGCGCATGCGCGCGCGAGTCGTTCGGGGCATTGGGAGGCTCTTCTCGTTTGTTTCTCCCATTCCAGCCACTGGAGTCACCACCCCAATGCAGCCAGCACCGTTAGCCACCATAGCACCGTTCACAACTCGGGTAAAAAAAAAGATGGCGGTCAGTTCGCCGACGCCGACTGAGCCGAGCGTTATGCTAGGAAAGCGGGAGGCGTTTCGCCATCCTGTTAGTCTGCGTCATTTGAGAGGTTGAACTAAATCATTTCGAGGACTGCTCGCAATGGCAAGCGATCGTGAATGCTGTAAACTGCGCATGCTAGTCAATTTTTTGCGATCTGCAGGGAGACTAGCTGCCATGGCGACCGCGGACAGACGAAATGACTTGGTTCGACGGCACACAACATTATCTATCGTTCAAGATGTTGGAAACATACCACATATCGTTATAGATACTTTTTACTCTATCTAGCTTCAGTTCTTGAAATTCTGACCGGCAAAGTCACGTCGGCCGTCTTGTTTGCATCGGCTGTACGCCGAAAACACGAGCTGCCACGGATTCACATGTTGCAGAATGTTTCACACGTTTCCTAGAAGATGGCGACACCAGTCAAACAAATCATCATCATAGTGCCCCACATCCTTACCAAGCCAGTCATGTGATTTAAAAGTCCCTCTCCTAGGTACTGCGGCTAACTTTTGCCGCGGTTAGTACTTCGAGCAAACGGGCCCTGGTATAGTTACAAGGCGCTTAAAAACTAGAAATAATGTTGTACCAAAGCAGGCATGCTCAAATACTTCCTGGTCCATTGCAAAAACTACAAAATCATGAGTATCTTCACCCGCACTTGCCCCACCTTAGCCCGTCGTGCGTCTTTACCATCTCTAATGCCCTTATATATATCTAAGTAGCCTTTGCGGTGGACCAGCAAGTAACGTTTGCACCGATAGTTTATTCTTTGCCTACCTGAAACGTCAAACAGGAGTCCAGGGAGCAGTCTTCCAGCTGCGTCCACAAAGAGTGTTGTGCCCGACACGTAAGACGCTCCCGCCGAGAGCAAGAAGCAGACAGCAGAAGACACCTGAGGAAGAGGTTTAGCCAAACTCAAATTTAGAAGTCTTGCATAACAAAGCGAAGAAGGGCGTCTGGCAGGTCTTAAACGAGGACGGACAATCAATTTGGACCAACTGGGAAAATTTTAGACCTGCCACCAGTGTCTTGGTTAGATGGCAAGTTCTGCTCAACAAGCCTACGTCAAATTGCGGCACCTCAGCCGGGATTCCAACCCACCACCTGGGGCTCTGTTGGATAGCACTTTGCCTCAAACCCACCTAGACGGCTAAGAGGCTTAGCGCCTCCAAGCAATCACAGATTCGGGGGTGGAAAGTTTAATGCACACGGTTTTGCGAATATTACTTAGTCTGATGCAACAAGCTTTCCGTATACTCGTTGAGACCAAGAGCGATATTCAATAATATCAAATATAAAGGTAGGAAAAGGGGGGGGGGGGGCGGGGCGGCATACTTCAGTTCTCGATTTCTTAAATATTTTGTCCTGATCTAAAAAGAAGAGGAAAAACCTAAATATATATATATTTTTTTTATTTTGAGGGAATTCAGGCTGCTTTTTACTTGAAAAGGCATTTATTATTTGCTTTGAGCTGAAACCCCAATATTTCTGCGAATCGAACACAAACCTCTTGTGGCTTCCCTGTCCTTTTGGCAGCGGTTCGTCCTCGCGCTTGATCAAAAAAGTCCCCTTTGTAGTTTTTTGCTGCCGTAGCGGAGTAGATGGGTCCCTACATGAACAAAGAAAGTGTGCTGGTGAACTGTCCCAGAACCCGGCGTATACCCAACACTCACGGGAGCGACCACGTTGATCCTAACTCCACTTTCGGCCCATTCCACGGCCAGAGAACGCGTCAGATTCTCCACACCAGCTCGCGCAGCTCCAGAATGTCTGCAAGAGAATCGTTGCTTCATCCCAAACTCAACTCACAGGAAAGAAAGAAAAGATCGCTCACGATGCCAAGGGAAAGCCACGCGTATTGTCCATCGTGATGTTGACAATCGATCCGCCATGCTCTTTCATCCACTGGCTGTAAGCTGTCCACCCCATGTGCAAAACATTAAGTGGATCGTAAACATGCAACTACTACGGATAGAAGTACCACGTTTTCTGGTGTACCCTAAAACCACATTCGTATTGCTCACACATCACACAAGACGTGATGGTCGCTGCAGACATGAGGGCAGAATGATCTGCGGAGACGCTTTTTGCAAACATACACGTGCATGACGAAAATAATCCCTGGAGAAGGGGAACAAGAGGGACAAAGGACAAACCTCCAAACACAGCTAGGTGACTGGTGAGCGACCGAAAAAAAATTCGCCTGGTCCGGGTATCGAACCTGAGACCTCTCCATTACAGGTGGAGCACTCTACCAACTGAGCGAACCAGGGGCACGCTTGTTTCGACATGTCGGCAGACGGTTTCAGTGCAACCATTGTGAAAGATCGGTCATGCAAGAAAAATACACATCAGAAAGTGTCTACAGGCTGTCTTTTGGAGAACCTACTAGTGGTGTGAACTAAGGTTAGAGGTGAAATCTTACGCGGTACTCAGTCTATCTGAAGGTACGGTCTATAAAAGGATTTGTTTGTTTCCATGTTGTTCATGACGAGACTGGAAGGCTCTCGCGATTGGCAGTACATTGGTGAAAAGTTATGAATAATACAGCCTCTTTGGGGGCTAATAAGGCAGGCATTTTTCTAGATGTGCGCTGCTTGATAATTTGTTTATGTGTGGATAATTCACTAGGCGCGGAGTGCACGATGGGCAGGCTCTCTAACGGAAAATATTGCTTTTCCAACCGAAATTTTACAAGCCTTTTAATGGGTTTTTGGATGTTTAGATGATTAATTGGTTTAACATTATTCTCAGCACACGAATAAGAGAATTCCAATTTTTACAGATGTCCACAAAACATTTAAATTAATAAACGCTGTTCTCACTGCAACAACCCAAAAACGGAATCCGAGTCAGACAGCTGCAGTGTGTGTGTGTTTTATAGCAACGCGTGGCGCATAGGACTTTATAGACGCTTTGCAGCAGCTGCGCATAGGCGCCGCCATAACCGACCTTCAGTTCTTGTTTCCTCCTATTACATTTACTTCACCTCATCGTTACCATAGCGGGGCAGGTTATTGCCATTTTAGCTTCTACAGTGTCCTTCTCACAGCATTGGCCTTTCTGGAGGCTTGTCAACGCCCGCTTTAGTGGCTCGGCATATGGGAAAGGCAAGAGAAGGTCAGCAATGGCGGCTGTAATTTGCGCGTGTGTAAAGCTTCTATATTACACCCAGTGTTTGACTGTTTGTCTATCATGATAATGATGTCAGAGTTTTTCATATGCTAAAAAGAAAACAAAATTATACCTTTCTGGAAATACTATTACGGTTAAACTGTGTTTTTGTTGTCATCATAGCGTTAATTGGGGGCATACATTAGGTACTTCGATTGGTATTAATAATAATATTGAAATTCAGCTATTGTAATACATAATTTTTCAAGCGTTGCTTATGATCTAATTTCAAACGCGCAAACAAATATGACAATCAAGTGTGGTAATTATCATCACTGGTGCCAATTGTAGCATTTTTAATTACTAAGTTATAAAATAAAAATAGTCTGAAGTCAATGAAAACATTCCAGCTATTGTGAGAAATCCACGTAAAATGACTTTAATTGTGGTTAAGATATATTTTTCTATCAAAGTTGCGACTTTTGACAATCAGCAAAGCGTGAATCGCCGCCAATATCCTTCCAAACCAAAAGACTAAAAAAAAATGCATTATTAATTTTTTTTATAACATTTAGTTACTTTCATTTTTACACTCCGTCGTTTTTTCCAATCTCAGCCTTTCCAGTTCGAAGGAACGCCTACTTGCTTGCACGCCTCATAACTGCAGCACGTTTCGTTGGCGTTGGAAGCTGGTGAAACAGTAGTGAGCCTTAGTATTGCGTATACGAGCGAACGCAAGTGCTGTGTGTTTGCGTTAGCTTTGCGTGTTCCACACTGCGCGTGCACGGAGCCCAAAATTGCGGTCTTGGATGGCGCATGGCGAAAATAATGAGGCGCACGCACAACGTTGGACTTGCAACTCTAATGCAATTGCATACCACTTGCGTTTGCTTCTGTGCGCAATACTAAAACTCTCCAGCAAGGTACAATCCCATACCGGCTGCAGCACTACGTTGGGACAGTGAAGAGCGTTGTTTGCATTCGGAAATGAGATTTCGCGAGCCATGATCGCGAGCAGTTCCGCCGTGCCCGCTGAGCAGGAGAATCGGGGGACCCTCACTAGAGCGCTTCCCGTTTCCGCTGCGGGAGGGCGAGTATTGAGCTGGAGACGCGAGATTATCAGGAGGTACCATTGGCCGAAAGTGGGCTGGGCACGGGCTGGGCCAGAAGCCGGAAATAATACCCTGGTGGTGGTCGCAAGAAACAAACCTGATAAGTGCATCAGAGTAACTCTCGGTAACTGAAAATATGGTACACGTGATATTTCAGTCATGCTCATTTAAAATGATGGCGGAAGAGTGCGACTAGCGAAGCGATCGACATAGTTCTTACGCCAAGCGCCGAGGGCCGGGATTCCACCGTCCGAGCGGTCACACTCTGTCCGAGCAAAACAGAGTTGAGCGGCGCATTCGTCTCTTACATCTTTTTGCATGATCATGATCGAAATATCACGTGCATCCTATTTTCGACCACAAAGAGTTACTAAATCTCACTCTTACGCTCTTATTGAAACCATATACGAACATATACCTTTGATCAGAACTGTTTCTCGCTACCACCGCCAGGGGATTCTTTTCTGCTTTTGGTTGGTCAAGAGAGTATGCCAATTGCCCTCTTTCCGAGTCTGACGCACGCCCTGGCTCTGCCCGCGCCTCCCATTGACCAACCTCTCTCTATACACTGCTCTGAGTAACATCAGAGCCAGGTATAAAGAGAGTTTGGTCAATGGGAGGCGCGGGCAGAGCCAGGACGTGCGTCAGACTCGGAAAGAGGGCAATTGGCATGCTCTCTTGACCAACCAGAAGCCGAAAAGAATCCCCTAGCGGTGGTAGCGAGAAACAGTTCTGGTCAAAGGTATATGTTCGTATTTTAATAAGCACGTAAGAGTGAAGTGTAGTAACTCTTCATGGTTGAAAATAGGATTCACGTGTTGCTTTGATCATGATCATGCAGAAACATGTAAGAAACGAATGCGCCGTTCAACTCTGTTTTGCTCGGACACAGTGTTACCGCTCAAACGACAGATTCCCGGCCCTTGGCGCTTGGCGTAAGGATTATGTCGATCGTTTCGCTAGTCGCACTCTTCCGCCATCATTTTAAATGAGCAAGATTGAAACATCACGTGTATCATATTTTCACGGGGTCATGTGACGTCACCGGGGTAACGTGACCCCTGTGAGGTCACGTTACGATGACATCATTGTCATCGTCACTGATGACGCCGTCATCACCTGACTTCATCAGTAACAATGCAAATGCTGATGACGTCATCAGTGACGTTACGCGTCCCATAATGCACCGCGCGGTTACGCCGACGTTGCTCAAGCCGGAAATGGGTGCTTAAGAGCTGCGCTCTAAAAAGAGAAAACTCCTTGAAACATTGTGTGAATAAATACCTCTGTTGCTGTTCACACTTCTATATAACACTTATTATATAGGGAGATTCTGCTGTTTAACTTGACTTTTGTCTTTTATAGCTGTATACTTGCGTATGAAATCATATTTTTATTTTTTACAGCAGCAGGAACTCTCGGGCCTGGGAGAGACAGTGTATAAGCCTTGCTACACGACGGGCCCTCGAAGCAATCGTGGTGCAGAAAGTAGCTGTGGAGTACAGATAGGTTGGACAGAAAGGAAAGCGAAAGTTCAGTTCGCTTGCAGTGTGCAAGCTGATAAGCAGCGAGTGAGCTATTCCAGCTCAAATAATAAACAGTTTTTGTTGCACCGGCTGTACTTGGAAAAGTTTTCTAGCGTAATGACATTTTCAAAGCCGCAGCTAGCCATTGTTCCTGCCTACTCACGTCAGAGTGAAGACTACAGCCACATAACACAGGTGCAGTGGATAGGATGAATTTGCACATCATACTTAGCAAAACTGGAACTTTTTCTGGAAAACTTGTAGGAACCCTGATCAGTATTGGCGATGACCTTGTGGTCCTCTTTCATTTTCCCCCTCTCCCAGCACTTGCACCTGCTGTCCAATGCTGCCTCATGTCACCTGACCCCCTTTAAGTGATAAGGATGTCTCATCATCCCCATCTGTCCTCCCAAAGAGTGAAAGGTTAGGTGGTGCTGGGAATGAGGTTTGAGTGACCAAAATGATGAGCGGTAATAGCTGGGGGCTTTCGAACCAAGCCCGACATGCTGGTTGACTGGGCTGGGAACTCTAGCAGTCCTATAGGTTGTTCTCTCATCCAGCTGTAGAAGGATGAAGGTGACCTTAACAACCCTGAAGTCACTGAGCACCTCCCTAACCCCAAGTTTAATATACACACAATTCTGGGAACAACTGTTCATTTATCATCATGATTGCTGCTGCATTTACTGGGTTGGTAGGCATTTACGAAGCATGGTGTCATTGGGAGTTACTGCACAATTGCCTGTGTCCTCATCTGGTTCGATGGAACATCGGCAGGCATTGTTCGTATCCACAGTCCTGACTCCAAACTCGCATTGGGTATGGTGCGAGAGCCCCAGCCTTTTTGTCACTTTGACTCACTTGTAGCCAGTGCTGTCCTGATCATCAAACGTTTGCCTCTGACGTGACAGATTAGTATTATGAGATGTTATCGTGAAATGTGCCATGTGACATTGGGTAGCACCGGACAGCAGGAGATGGGTACGAGGCCATCAGTAACACCAATCAGGGTTCCTATAACTATGCATCAAGTTACACATTTAAATAACAAAAGCAACCGTCAGCATGTGGTTAATCCGAAACAAGGAAGGGAGTCTTTTTCATTTTCCAACGACGCTGGAAACAAGTTGAGTCCTCTCGAGGCCTGTGAGCGATTCATTCGAT